TTTCAATGTATTTTTACCATGCCTGAACATGCTAAAATGTTTTCAATCCAAAGATTAGAATGTTTTCGAATCTCAAAATTTTGAAAATCTTTCAGAGTCTTCAGGTATTGAGGTCATTAATTTACTATCTTAAACTTTTGAATTGGTTTTAAATTCATTTTTTGCTAATATCAAGACGGTTCGATTTTCAGTCCAAGAAATTATTAAACTTTTTATTTAAAAAAAAAATATTTGTAAATTAATGACCCTAATACCTGAAGACTCTGAAAGATTTTCAAAATTTTGAGATTCGAAAACATTCTAATCTTTGGATTGAAAACATTTTAGCATGTTCAGGCATGGTAAAGGACATGCTTAAGTACGAGGCTAGAATGTGCAGGAACTGATATAAATTTAGAATGATTAGAGCTAAAATATCGACAGATTAGGAACACTGAGAAAAAGTTTTGACATACAATATGATCCTAGTAAATTTTTGAAACTTTGATGATGTTCAGGTAGGGGATGGAACTGGAACTGCCACAAGTCCAGGATGACAGGTTGGACTTAAATAATTCCATCATATTTAAGCTGCTGAGGAAAAGTAGACGTGTTTTGATATATAACATGGTAGGTTTTTGGAGAAAAAAATATTGGTCCACAAGTAGTACTGTCCAAAACTTTGACAGTCCATAACTCTTTCAGGTTATATCCATTTCCAAAAATTTTCATCACTCCCTGACAACTTGCTCCCGCGTAATTCACAGACACATAAAAAATGGTTAAAAATAAAAGAAAATTTGTAAAAAAATATAGGTTTGTTTAAAAAGTACCCGAAATTTCGGGCGAAATAAAAATTTCGGCCGGAATTCCGGTCTATCCTATGGACCATAATCCTAGAAGTGAATCACACCTACCCTATCGCAATTCCAAATAAAACAATTTGTCAAATGCTCATAAATGCGACTAAGTACAAATGTATGCTTCCTACAGACTTTGATAATTTTACGAGCAGCTAAGAATAGAAAATCATGTTTAAAACATCTCATTACTGCGGTTATTGCTGATTACATTTAGCAAAACATGAGCAAAACTTGATAACAGTTCTTTAAATCCTGCATTCTGATGAAAATTGTTCTAGCTACAATTCTTGTGTTCAAACCTTATCGTTAAACTAATTGGACTTTAAAGCATTTCAAATAATTATTGAGAATTGAATAAATATTTCACAGGAAGTGGAGAAGAAAAAAAAAATCCAGACTATCTACTTCAATTGCTCAGTAATTATTACAATTGAGTCTATAAATATTGAATTGAAGGCTTCTGTTCTGCCGAGTCAACAAAAAAAAATATATAGTTTTTTATCTACAATATTTTCCAATTGTGATTGATGGGCCAATTAAAGGGATGGGAGTGAAATTTAATTAAAATTGATGGGAATGTCTGTTAAGTTTAGAAGAATTCCTTTAGGCTCGTTTGAAATATTTTCGACATAAAAAAATTCAAAAAATTAATTTTCAACCTCAAACTTAAGTTTCCTCAATCATAAAACTTCCACCTGGAAAATAATTTTTTTATGAACATTCCAATCAACACTTAATCACTAAATCAATACCAGCTTACCAAAAAAATATTAATTTTTATAGTCAGAGTTAAGAAAAATTTCATAGCCCACTTAACAACTGTATTAGATTACAGATATAAACCAACACTTGTGCTTTTCTGACTTCATCCCCGAACTCTGTACTTTAATGCATATTCACGAAATGTATCGACGTCAATCGTTCGGTATTTTTTTGGATTTCATCAAATTTATCAATTCAAGTCTCTGACAACAAAAAAAAAATAGTCTGTGTATGTGCTGCATTATGGCTTCTGATTTCTTTTATAGAAAATTAATTTTCACTAAATTAAGTATTAAAGTTAATCAGACATTATTTTTTTCTTTCACATGCATTTGTTTTGTAGAACCTTGTTTTTTACGATTCCCGTCATTATTGTAGTATTTTGTTATGACTCATAAAGAAGCATTTGTGGCCCAATAAGTGGATGAAAATTTTCATTTTTCATTTCAATTTCAGTTATTACATTTGTATACCCAGACTGCAAATTATTATCAAAATTACTGCAAAGTGGTGTGTGTCGAGGCTAAAAAGCTATTAAATTGTTCCCTTAACAGACTCAAATGTCTGCATATTCAAGTGGAATAAGACACAATTTGGAATATAAAAAAAATGTATATTTTCTACATTCGAAAGAAATGTTTTATATTAAAAGCAAAATAATATTCAGGAAGTCCATTTCCTTGACTTTTGGAGAACAAGAACAAGCAAATGTGGCATATTGTTGAGAAAATTGAACAGAATGAGATTTTTTTTCAAAACTTTATATGAAATATTTTTTAAAGGTTTTTTTGTAGCATGGAGTTTGGATAGTTTAGTGAATCAATGGTCCAATGCTTTGAAAGTTCTGAATTATCAACAGTATCATAGATGTCTTAGGTTCGAATCTCAAGACTTGCAATAATATATTTGGAACTGCTTGAAAGCAGCCGTCTTCCCCTTGTTCCTTTAATAATTAAATGCACGAGTAGGTTTCTAGGGCTACTATGAGGGGGTAGCTTAGTTCCTTAGCCACAGTCAAACTTTATGTTTCCTAGAATGAATCACTTCAATTTTTGAATAATCTTAAACATGGGCCAGAGCAACAGCTCCAAATATGTCTTTAAAAAAGTTTTTCAAGACTTGATCTTATTGGAGCTTACAATCTTCATTATATCAAAGTAAAAGAATGAAGTCAACTAAATCTACGAATGTCTTTAGTCTGCACAACTCAAATGCAAAAGAATCTATAACTTGTTCTTTAACAATCCCACTAGTAATCTTCCAAAAACTTTCCATTTGCTACACATTCTCAAAACAAAAACCCGAAGATCACACAATCACTGAATAAACCTACAAAAAATAAATAAAAGGAATATAAAACTGATCTAGGGCAACAAACTTCGGAAATAAGCAGTTATAGCAGATTAACTTCAGGTCAATACACTTAAATGTCAAGTTTATTAAATATTATGTAAAAAATCAGAGTCAATAGAGTCTTTATTGACACTTAAACTAGGCAAATCTTGAAAATTGAAGCTATAGTGACTTTAGACTTAATTTAAAAATTGTTTATTATTTGACAAAATATTAATTCCATGACTCAATTTTTCAAGGAACTGCTAATATTTGACCTCTTTATATTAAAAAATTCTAGAATATTTAAAATCCCGTTCATACAGCTGACAGACGTTAATTCCCCTCGCAGAAGCAGCTACAGAAAGTTTCATCACATTTCGTGTCAAATAAATTCCATATTTTTATTTCTTTTGTGCAAAAAAAACTTGTCTAATAAAATTAAATCTTTTTTGATTTTTTTTTTAATATTTCATTTAACCTTTGCACTGCTTCATGTCTTCTTATTTTATCATATTCAACTCCTTGAACTTTATCTTTCACTTCTTCTTTGTCAGTAACAAAGTATCATGTAACCTTCACCCAATAATCAATTTTAATATATATTTTTAAAGAAGTAAATTGAAAGCGATAAGTAAGTGGCGCTAATGGCGTGCTACAACTAAATTTCTCATTCTATTTGCGGTTATTTCGTTTGATCGAGGTAAGTACATTCATTTGCATATACGTTTTCTCTTCCTTTTTGGCTCCATTACATACGTCATTAAGACATGAGAAATGTCTGGAGAATGTTCAATGCCCGAAACTTAACAGCTGATAACAGATTGACTTTAATGCATTTTTTTTACAGAGTTATATTTTTTTTTGTTTATGCTTATCACTATTTATGTTTTCCCATCTCTGTCCATACTGTGCGAGTGCCGTCTCACTCTCTCTCCTTTGACTTACTTTCATTCGGATTGGGCATGTACACATTATTCAAAAAAATCGAGACAAGCTAATGAGTTATTGGCATTATTTTTAAGACAGACTTAAAGGTATAAAGACTCATCGACATAAAGAAATAAAAAGTCAACAACAACACAAATGAAAGTGATTTAAATATTTCTTTTTTTTTCTCGTTCTCTTGTGTCTCTGCGAGCACTACACACTTCTTTTTGCGTACACAGAAATTTTTTTTAAAAATATTTTTTATTGGCAAACAGCTGAAAAACACTTTTTTTTCTTTTTTTTTATATTTTGCCTTCTTTTCATTGTCTCCGTGCCTTGCTTTTAAACCATCAGACAAAAAATTGTTAAATGAGCATTTTAATGATATGCAGCAGGGCTATTCCCAGTCACTAAACACATTAATTAATTTATTGAATTTAAATTTCACAATCTTTTAATTTTTCCAATTCAACATATTTTAAATTTTTTTTTAAGAAATTCATAATTTTTTTAAATTAATTTAAATTATTTAACATTACATTTTAAATTTGCAAATCTTTGCTATAATATCCACAAAATAAACTAAACGCGATAACTGACTTAACTAACTTCTTGACTGCACTCAACGAATGAAACTGCTTAACTGACTGACTGAAGAAGAAAAATAAAACAAAACGAGTCGGCAAAAAAATACTGAAGTGTCAAGAAATTGAAAGAACTTTTTTTCTTCTGTATTTCGTGCTACACATACAGCTGTGCGATACTCTCTTTTCTCTCGCGCACTACACCATGTAAAGATATTGTTTGTGATTGTGTTGGTGCAATGGAAATTTTTCCAGTTTTTCCAATTGAATTTTCCGTTAAAGAAATCCTCAAAGTTTTTCATGACATTTATTAAAAAATGTCGCATAATTTTTTAAGGATTTATGCTAAATTTGTAGATTTTTGGCGAATCCATTCAAAAATAATTCATTCATAAACTTTCTCAATCATTTTCCGATGAATTTTCACAGTCAAAACTGTTTTCCTTTCACCATTCAACTCACCATGCTTCATGCTTCATTGGAACTTCCAATCACTCAAACATTCAACGTTTGTAAAACATTCAAAATTATAAAAACATTGTCAACTTACCTCTTGATCTCATCCGTGATCCTTCTTTTAGTTTCTTTAATCTCCTCCGTTTCGTACTCGGATGTAAATGTGTTTGTATCAAATCTCAGTGACTTCTTTTTGACATCAGTAACAGATGCTGGATTTAAAATCGACGGTACAGCGGATGTTGTCAATCCACATGGTTCATTTATAATTGGTATTGTTGGTAAGTTACAGTTCAAGGTCAATGCTGCAAGAATTGATGACTTTCTCCTTATTGGTTCTGTATTTGGCGCATTATCAGCTTGTGAAGTCATCTTGCAAATAATTCAGTTTTTGCAAACATTCACGTTTCCCACGGTTAGTTCATCTGCTTATTATTCAATGCTGTAATTCGAGAAGATAAGAAGAAAAAGAAGTAAGTGAGTGAATGAATTGCTTGATTCATATTTATGTGTGTTTAAAGCAAGCTTCTTATTCCTTTTTCACCTCAAGCTATAAAAAGATGAATTTTATGCAAATGGGGTAGAGCTGATACTGATGAGATCGTATCGATTTCGATATTAAAATATCGAGGAAAAAAATTATTTTTTATGCTCATTTGTGTCATCAGAAGAAGTAATATTTATGGTTTATTGTAGATTTTGAGAGTCTTTTGTATTCGAATTTTTAAGGAGGTGTGATTCTCATTTATTTGTGAATTTTGAATTGAAGATTGGGGTTAATTTAATATTAAGTAGCTTTCATAATACTTGATTAAGCGTGGATTAAATTATAATAGAATCAAACTAATTTTAAACTGTCATAATATCTAATTCTGAAGTATAGCAAAGGGGTCGTTCACTTATGACGTCCGAAATTAACGGTCATTTTTCATAAAAGAACAATGGATTTCCAGGAATTTCTATTGTTCTTTCCTTGCTGACCCCCCTCCCCCCCTGGACGTCATAAGTGAACGGCCCCAAAGGTGTTTGTTACTTGTTGTGGTCAAAAATAAATTTTGTCAGGACACCCCCCACTAAACTAGTTTTACTTGTGCCAGCATTTCCAGTTGCCTTTGACTTACTATATATTACCAGACATAAAGCAGAGACAGAGAGTAAAAGAGAGTCAGGCGTGGAGCTAGGGGGATTAGGGGATCAACCCCCCCCCCCCCCCCCTCCATTTGCAAAAGGGCAAGGCTATCTGTAATCCTTCTTGAGATGATTCTTAAATTGTCTGATGACCAAAAATAATATTTACAATATTGTAGCGATTAAACTCTCACCAGTTCTTTATGGGCCGTTCACTTAATACGCAACGCTTTTAGGTATAAGGGGGCTTAGATTTTATTACGGTTCAAATAAAAGAAAAAGAATTTTTTCATACAAATTTTGATACAATAGGCGAGAAGGGGGGAGGGGGTCTAAAATCCGTTTTTCCCATTACGTAATAAGTGACCAGTCCCTTAATAGTTATTGACAATCTACATACAAAAATTGGCTATATCAATTTAATAAATTGTTCCTTCTGTTCCTGAACGTTCCCAATTATCGAGATTCCGGAGCATCTGGCAGACTCGAGAATTCTGCAGAATTCTGGAACACAGTTGTGCAGAATAATTCTGCAGAATTCTCTAGAATTCTGGAGAATTATTTATCAGAATTCTGGAGAATTTTTTGAAAAATGTCACGCGACACATTCGCAACATAATTTCAGAAAACAGAATTTTTTAACAGAGTTCTGGAGAATTCTGGACAAATAATTCTGGAGAATTCTGGACAAATAATTCTGGAGAATTCTGTAATAGTTTTTATATAAATTGTCAAAAACACCCTATACTATTTAGCATTAGCTATTTAGCTACAACTGTAGATAACAGATGAACTTACTTCGTTACGTAAAAATCAAATTAAAGCTGTAATTAACAGATGGTGTTTATAGCTTAGCTGCTGAGCAGTACTTACAGTTGATGTAATTTCACGTGAATTCCGCTGGTTTTGACTATGACATTTCCTTTTACAAAAAAATTGAATAGAAAACAAGGTACAGTAGCGTGCAAAAGTTTGAAAATGATTGGTAATTAATAACTTTAAATGCTTTCTAGCACGAATTCAATGAATCGTTATGTATAAACATAAAATTAGCATTATATTTTTTATTTGAATGAAGCATTCAGTTTTTGGTTCTATTCCGAATGACACAAGTCGGTAAATTAATCAGAAATCCAGCATCAACCTGGTGTGACTTTGGCATGGTGCTAGATTTAAATCGAAGCCATTCGTAAGTATTTCCTAGGTTGTTTACTATCATTGTTTAGGTTTTTGTTTCCAGTTTTTATTCTTGTATTATTTTATTTATATTTTAAATGTTAACATCCAGAGTGAAAAATTTGATTTTTATAAAACTGTAAACTCAACTGTAAGTACTGCTCAGCAGCTAAGCTATAAACACCATCTGTAAATTACAGCTTTAATTTGATTTTTACGTAACGAAGGAAGTTCATCTGTAATCTACAGTTGTAGCTAAATAGCTAATGCTAAATAGTATAGGGTGTTTTTGACAATTTATATAAAAACTATTACAGAATTCTCCAGAATTATTTGTCCATAATTCTACAGAATTCTGTTAAAAAATTCTGTTTTCTGAAATCATGTTGCGAATGTGTCGCGTGACATTTTTCAAAAAATTCTCCAGAATTCTGATAAATAATCCTCCAGAATTCTGGAGAATTCTGCAGAATTATTCTGCACAACTGTGTTCCAGAATTCTGCAGAATTCTCGAGTCTGCCAGATGCACTTCACCCTCATCACTTTAGTTTTAATTTAATCGTATAATACATTTTGTGTTCAAATAACCGTTATATTACCGTGTATGATAAAATCAAATTTCTATAGTCGTTCGATAAGCTTAAATAAAATTTATATATGCTATAATATCATATAAGGAGCAATCAGCTCTTGTTATTACAATGTAGATTTACTTTTACATTGATTGAAATAAATTTAAATTTATGAGTAAAATTTGCATTACATTTGTTCGGGGAACTTTGATAAAGATTTTCAATGTAAAATTGATCAGAATTGGAATAAAATAATTGAAAATTAAAATCGTTGATTTTTTCAGATATAAGGAATTCCTATATAAGAAGCCTCAAGACAGAGTAGAGGTGAGGGGAGGTTTTAAAATAAAAATGTGTATGAACGTTATTTTTGAATACCTCCAATTATAAGTAAAAATAATTTTGCGCCGTCTCATCATGTAAATTATATTCATGCCTTCCAGGAATTTTCAATGATTTAATTTCTCACACTCGAGTGAGATGAAAAAGTTTCACATTTTGGGTACAAAAACAATCGATTTTGATATTTTATTCTAATTTTGCTGGAGTTTCTTCTTGAACATTTGTAACAATTAAAACTAAAACTTCTTGAAGAGATTTTTAATCAACACAAGGTTTCGGCAGTAAAGTTTTTGGATTATAATTTTTCCGTCAAGGGTGTGGAACTGAAGAATTACACTTTGATAAATTTTGATCATTTTTGATCATTTTTTGATCATTTCATGAGTACCACACCCTTGTTTTCCGTCATAGTCTCAAATAATTCAGAAATTGCCTCAGCGCCGTTCACTTATGACGTACAGGAGGGGGAGGGAGGGGGGAGGTCAGCGAGAAATTAACAATAGAAATTCCTGGAAATCCATCGTTCTTTTTTTGAAAAATGACCGTCATTACTGAACGATCTCATATATAAACTTGCATTATTATTTTAGAATGTTATGTGGGGGTCCTTGATTTAAATAGATTTGATTTGAGTAATTAAAATTAGTGAGGAGAAAATATATAAAATATTTTTTTTGCAACGAACAAAATGTTGCTAATTATATGAAAAGGATTTTTCCGGAACAAAACGCGTGCTCAAATCGAGGACCCCCAAGATTCCAATTCAAAAATATTGATGCATGTGCTGGTAAACAAACAGTTTATCTCGTAACGATTTCTTACATAATTTCACATTGCGGTTATATACTTAATATCATTGTCGAAACAACATTAATCACGTTGAATAGCACAAATTGAAGCTTAAGATTGACTCACAAGAGTTCACAGCCTACTATTAAATGATGGAAGTATCTTAATGAGTGGAATGTCACATGCTTTGGGTTCACATAAAGGTAAGAGAATGTAAGAGACTTTGACATATGTTTTTGATGGGATTCCCAGCAGATATAAAGTTTCAATTTATCTAAAATATTCACAACCTCATCTACTTTTTGATCAATTTCCACATGACGTGCCTTGTCATTAAAAACTGAATATTTTAAAATAATAACAAATTTTGCGAATTTGCAATCAAAATCTCAATTAAAATATTCCACCATAGTCCATAAACGATTATCGATTCCATCGTTTTTATTTCCAATCAATTATTATTCAACAAAATGCATCAAAAAAGTTTTATTTACCGATTGCGCTATAAATTTAGAGGAATTTCCTTCCTCATTCAATTTTATCATAAATTGAAAACTGACTCGCAATGCATAAAATTCAATAATCAAATACCATTCGGATATTAAAAATGGATATAATTAAAAATATTGAAGCTTTTATATTCATTATAAGGAACAGTTTCTGCAGCATTTTTCTATTCTTATTCATAAAAAAAAATCTCAATGAGATTCCGAGCAAACAAACCTTTTGAAAAAGGTTGAATGAAATTAAACAAGCTAAGATAAACACAAAGAGAACAATTACTTTTTGTGCAGCAGCAGCTAATTTAGAAATAAAGGGAAATTAAAAGACATAATAAGTTTTAAGGCTAAAATCTTGTCAGTTCATAATGAATTTATTTCATCGTCTTTTTATTGAATTGAGGATCATTCTTATATTCTTCAATGCTGAATTATGAATTATGTATGACGATTCCGAGGTTGTCTTGAGTGAGTGTAACTAAAGAGACTCATTTCTAGTGTTGCTCAAATGAACAACTAGTGAAGCAGTACCATATCTTGAAGACTTATCATTTCTATCGACCTTTCCAATTTTAAAACGTTCAACCTTAACCGAATCCAGAGTAAACACCAACTCCTTTCCTCCTCTACACTGATCTACCCAAAAACCTACACTATTCCTCAGAATTGGTATAAAGCAGTTGTGTCCAACCTTTTTTTGTCCCACGATACATCTTGGTGATAAGCCATGACAGAAACTATCACGGTATATGGTGGAATATTCTAAAAAAATTGTGGCACACTAGTGTTGACATTTTTACTTGTAGCCTACAAATGAAGACTGTGAGCTTCATTTCCAGTGCATATGCCGAGTCTCGAACGCAT